CCTGGCAGAGGAGGCGGGTGGCGGCAGGGGAGGGCAGTTGGGGGCGATCAGGCCAGCAGGGGAGCAGTTAGGTGTCAATCAGGCAGGCAGGGGAGTGTTTAGGAGCCAGCAGTCCCGGATTGTGAGAGGGATGTCCGACTGCCAGTGGGATTGGTCCTAAACCAGCAGTTGGACATCCCCCGAGGGGTCCCAGATTGGAGAGGGTGCAGGCCGGGCTGAGGGACCCCCCTCCCCCCGCCCAAATTTCAGGCACCAGGCCTCTAGTTATTTTATATAAAATGCCCTGTGGGAGCCTAGATCCTTCATGAGGCAGTTCCCTCCGGGCACCCCCAGCAGCAGCGGCTCGCAGACTCTGCACGAGGAGTGTGCACCTGTGCGTCTGTGACGGCGCCTGGAGGGCCCTTGGGAGGTGGGTGGCGGGTGAGCGGGGCTGCTGCTCCTCCACGTGCCCGTCCTCACAGGAGGGAGCAGGGAGAGCGGAGGAACTTCAAAACGGACGTGCTTTCCACGCCACGTGAGACGTTTCCCCGTTGGGTGAGAGTTCTGGCTTCTCCGCACGTCACTCCCTGTTCAGCCTTGTGCAGATTTGCAAACTGTATTCCTGATAAACTGTGGGAAGGTTGTTTCCAGCGAGACTATGCATCATTTGTGAAAACGAAACACGACCTTTTATTACTACAATAACTTCTTACAACATTGTTTTAAAACTCTAGTCTTCAATTTTGTGAATATAACTTAATAGTTACTTCTAATGGCTTCGTAATTTGGAATACTGGTTCAGTGAGTGTTTACGTAACAGCAGTAGTGCAGTCGAGATGAAAGATGATGAGATTCCAATACAAGCTGTTCATTGGGGTGCTATTAAAGTTGGGGCTTGGGGGAGGGAATTCTTTTCGAAAGTTGTGAAGAGAGGTGATAAGTCTCTAATAACGCAGGTGGACACACACCAGCACAAGGCATGATGTGAACACGCATGCACATTGCCATTCCAGTACTAGAGTTCTACAGAGTACTGAAGTCTGCTTCTCTGTGAAATTATTCTCTTAGATTGTTAGTTAATTCTTTCGATCAGAGGTTAAAATTAGGTCTCCCCCAAATATGCAAATTAGGATCTTGCTACTTAAAATTATCGCTTCAGAATATGTAATAACATGAATAAATGTTTAATCGTGAAGTGCAATTGAAAGTGTGTGTTAAGGAGTTTGATTTTGGAAATTTTTAAAAAAGATTTAGAGACAGAAGATTTGATTATTTGTGTTTTCATATCATACTTGCCACTTACCCGTATCCCCCCCCACCCCCCCCATTTAAACTTAAATGGACGTTAGATGAAACCGTTATGTTGAAGTGTTGAGCCTGCTGCATGCAGAGCACTGTGCCGGGTGCGGGGTGCGGTGACCAGGCAGTCCCTGACCTGGGGGAGTTAAGCCGCAGGTGCCTGTGCGTGGTCGCCCGGTGGGGGGGCGGGGGGCAGGGAAAAGGGCTGTGAGGCTCCTGTCCGCCCCAGCATTGGCGTTGCCTTCACAGTCCCTTTGCTGACAGGCGGCACCTCTGAGTCTGAGCGCGGTCAGCCATCCAGAGGGATTTGGGATAGGAGCGCCCGCAGGTCAGTTTCAACACCATTTAATAACGTCAGTGGAATGTTTGAAGCACAAGAAAATTAAATTTGGGATTTTCTCTTCCATCATTTCAATTAAATGAAAAATGTGCCTGGCTGGCATGGCTCAGTGGTTGGATATAAATTTATTTTTCAATGTTATCTGGACCGAACTGTTCTGGCACTTTCTCCCAGGTCATGAGACATTGAAACGAAGAATACTAAGGCAGTGATTCTCAGCCTTCTGGCCCTTTAAATACAGTTCCTCATGTTGTGACCCAACCATAAAATTATTTTCGTTGCTACTTCATAACTGTCATGTTGCTACTGTGATGAATCGTCATGTAAATATCTGATATGCAGGACGGTCTTAGGTGACCCCTGTGAATGGGTCGTTCGACCACCAAAGGGGTCGCGGCCCACAGGTTGAGAACCGCTGGTACTAAGCTGTTAACGGACAGGACAGGAAGGGCTTTCCCGTGGGTCTCCCCCGCCATCTGATGAGACCCCTGGGCTCCCCGCTGGAGGTCTGGGCCAGGGTCCGAATGGGAAAAGCCGCGGGGCCTCGCCCGGGCCTGACCGGGTGGCGCTGCAGCAGGGGCAGGGGCAGGGGCAGGGGTCCCCCAGGTGGATGAGGAGCTGCGGCTCAGGCCCCCCCAGGACGAGCCTCATGTAGCGCCCGCCCCCATGGCACCTCCCACACCTGCACTGGTACAGCGTCCTTTTCAGAGTAAGCTTGGGCGGGGCAGCCTCACGATGAGCTGGGCTCAGTTGGGGTCTGTCTCCAGCTCTGTGGGCCGGGAGCCTGGGGAGCCACACGGAGCCCTGTCACATGGGAGGACAACGGTGATGGGCTTGGGCTGAAACCCAGCGATTGTGTGGTCCAGGGACGGCCCCGTGCTATCTGTCTGGTGGAAACGGAGCCAGGACAGCACTCGGCCCCTGGTACAGCATGTTTCTCTGGGAGAGAAAGGGCGCATAGAGCAGGAGAAAGGCCCTCAGATCCGGGGCGGAGAAGAGCTCGCCCTCCATTTCCCGGCGTGTGGTCGCCGCTCTGCCGTCTCTTTCTCCTGAGGGCCGCCTCCCGCAGCAGGAGAGACGGCAAGAGATGGAAATGGAGCCTTCTCCGTTTAAATAATTTAAAAAATTTAAATCTGCTACCGAATTTAAAACCACGTATTTCCTCTGCCTCTTTAAAAGAATACTGCGGAAGATTGAGCATTTTCTGGACGATTAGGTTACAGACTGTTTTGTCTCAGGGACTTCACGGATTTATTTTGGCGGAGCATTTTGTTAAAATTCTTTTCCTTTTTATTGAACTCACGGGGTTGACTCTGTTAGCAAAATGATACAGGTTTCAGGTGCGCAATCCATAGCACGTGTGTTCTCCACCCCGCCAGGTCTCCGTCCATCACCATCGTCCCCCTGTCCCCCTGCACCCCTCACCTCCCGCACCCCTTCCCTGGCATCACCACTGTCGTCCCTGCCCTTGAGCTCGC